GAGAAAAAGGTCCAGATGCGGCCACGGTAGAAAAGCTGTATGACTGTGGCTATGAGGAAGAAAGGGAAGAACCCTGTGACCACTGACTCGTAGGTCATCCAGAGGTGGTGCTTATGGAACCACAGAGAGTTGTAGAGCCACTCCCGGAAGTAAGACTTGCTCCAGCGGGTTTGCTGGTTGAGCCACCGGAGGTACTTGGTGGGGGTTTCTGTGAGGCACTTGGAGCGCGCTGTATATTTAGTCCTGTAGCCCAGGCTCAGGACTCGGTTGGTGAGGTGCCGGTCATCCCCAAAGCTGCACTTGCTGCCTAGGAACTTCTGATGGTACCAATCTTCCAGGAATTGCTGGAGGAGGCTGTTACGGTACATGCCCAACGGCCCACTAATACACTGCACACAGCCAAAGTAGGACTGGCAGGCCCGCTCCACGTTGAAGGCCATCCAGTACCGCACACTGCTCAGGAAGGAGATCCATGAATCATACTTGTTGAGGATCTGTAAGGGAACCATAGATGCTGGGCCTCCACACCTGAGACCACAAGACCCAGGAGACACACACCAGAGACCAGGAGGCCTCCCTACCCTGAGTTCCTAGCCTATTGCTCATATTCCTGGCCATCCGTCCCAGCCCAGCCATGGCTAGGAAACCCGAAGCTCAGGGGAGCCAACCGCACTCCCTCTCCCCAGCACTAGCCCAACTCGCCACTGTGTGGTCTGCATGGATTGTCCCAGTGAAGTTACTCTAGGAGTCAAAGCCACCTTCAGTCCCAGGGGGCAGCCTGTGGCAGCGACAGAGAAAAGGCCTCGAGAAAGATGCAAAGCAACACCCAGGCACCTGGCCTGACCCTTCAGTTGGAAAGTTTGTTGGGAAGGGCTGGTATGTTACCGGCAGTACCCTCTGGAAGAAGCTACTCCCCTTATTCCGACCACATTGCCCAAGCTCTTCAGAGCAATTAAGCCTAGAGCAAGGGTTTCTCAAGGGTCTAACTTGAGAGGTGCTTGCTGTATTGCCAAGTAGGAAGCACCTTGCAGGATCAATGGGCTCAGAACACTGTGCCCCTCCCAGCAACACAGGCTCTCTACATACCTGGTAAGTAACTTTCTCCCCTCAGGCTTAAAAAGGGCAGGAAAGGAGCTGAATCGCAAAGGAACCATTTGAAACTGTCAAAAAGGAATATTCCCCCGCTACTCCCAAAAGTACTAAGAAGCCAAGATGCCCACTTCCCAGACATATCCAATCGGATCAGAAAGCTAAGAGAGTCCAGCCCGCACCCCCAGGAATCCTTAGTTACTTCTTACTTGGACATCGCCCCCGACTCCTCCTACTTGGGGGTCCTCCTCGAGGACTCGAAGCATCTCAATGGTGCAGGCTGGATCCAGGACAGTGTCAGAGTCACACACCTGCAGAGGAAATGCACTGTTAGCCCATTTGGACCGCAGTCCACTCACAGCCTGAGGGACATAGCTCCCTTTTCATATGGTTCACTTCTAGCCACTAGCTAAGAGATTTGTGCCAAATAGAAGGGGTGAGATGAGTAACAAAGGAGAGTAAGGAAAAGAAGAGTTCGGATACCAGGCTTGACAACCACTAGCTGAGAGAGAAAC